TTCCACCTCGTCATGAACTTATTCCATCATTTTTGTGACCTCTTCCATGGTTTTGATGAGTGCTTCAAGTTCAGCTAACTTTTCAGGAGACAGTTGATAGTCTACTTCTGAAATATTCTGAATGGCTTCAATTAGCGCCTAATATCCAAGCTCTTTCGACATTTAATAATGATGAATCTTTAATAATAGAATAATTAAATTGGAATCACATTTTTAGATATGGAACTGATTAAGTAAACTTAAAGTATTTCTGATTTAAAAAACTGCTGGAGGTACTCTAGAGACTAGCTCATGATTTGATCATTCTAAAATTAAGAAGTTCTACTTTGAGAATCTGGCAATTGGTACAGTATTGATGCAAGTGTATTTAACAAGGTATTAAATGAAGGAATCCTAGAACCTTTGTTGATTTAAATTAGTACTATAAAGTGAATTGAGACGAGGTAAATCGCTTCCCAGATTGCTACAAGACTTCAGACAAAATAAAAGCATGTGTAGAGACCTCAACATTGCCATTTACCAATTAAATTAGTATTGGCTTAAACACGCTGGCAGGAAATCAAACATATCTTATTGTCTAAACAGAGCATATAAGATACTTAATTCTTAATAGGAGTTAGCCACATCAGAATTTCAACTTGCTTGAAATTACAAAATAATGATAGTTTAAAAGATTGATGCTGAGTTTGCTGCTAGAATTAAAACTGATTTTTGACTTTTTATTCAAGAATATCTTTGTAACATGTAAGCCATCTAAAAAAAATTTCTGCATTTCTTCAAATAAAGCGAGGCTAATCTTGAAACTATCAAACGAAGATTAAGTAGCTGAGGAAGAGAAACCTTGATTTTCCAATGGTTTGTACTAAATATCATTTCTGAAAATACATAGTTCTTCATTAGAGTAATCAATTGACTCTCCAGTTTAGAGAAGCACTTACTGAAATACATAAATTTCAAGTGTTACTTAATAAATTTAGTAAGTTCTACATACTCTGATTTCTGTCTTGTAAATGATGAAAACATCAAAAAATAGAATTTTCATAGAAATTATCAGTCTAAAAACGAAATGTTCTTTGCTTGATTAATATGAGCTCGGGAAGTAATTTATTTAAAAGCAAAATTTATAAACCTAAAAGACTGAATAACTCTATTACTTTATAAAGGAAAATACTGCTTCATAAAGCTAATAATGGCTTATTAGTTGTTTGAAAAAGAGCAATTAGTGAGCTTATTTTAAATAGTTTTGAAATTATAGTTAATATAATTAGTTAAAATATACTAGCACTTCAAAATAACTTTGTATTAAACTGTGCCTAGTGTATTTCCATTTACTCTTGTAGGTTAAAAATCAGATGCAGATTACTAATTAAATTAGTTCGGTGATGTTGAATCACAAAAGAAAAAAAGATATTATTCTTAATTGCTAAAATACATTCAAAATACTCTAGCAGTTCTCTTACATAGAAGATTTGATAATTCCATTGTTTTTTTCAAAGAATTAAGAGAATTTTTGCAGCATACAAAAAATAAATTAGTCTTATATTGCTAGATGGCTTTAATTTAATATCATCAATGCATTTTTAAACATTGCTTGTTTGATTTCTTTCAACCATTTCCTTTATAAATTATAATTTAAGTGTAAAAAACTCTTTAAATTTGAGGAAAATATCGCATGGGGTTTTGGGGTTTTGGGGTTTTGGGG